ACCTTATATATCATATTAAAGCTTGCGATTGGTTACTTGAAGACGTTAAAAAGCTTAAAAGACGTCATTTTGCTAAATAAATGTTTATATATTTTATAATCTTGTCAACAATTATAAAAGAAAATACAATTTAGAGTAAATGATGTATCAAATTAAATTCTTAGTAATTTATTTCACAATGATAAATTTTAAAACAAGGATCTATGCACAAACCCACATTACAGTCGATCTCTAGCACGACAGAAAGATACTTTTATTTCAACGGACTGGTTCGCGCTTTGAAACTTCGCGAACACTGTTAGTTTGAAGAAGAGTGGAGCGTGATTGTTGTCCCGATTGCTTCGAACCCAGTGCATGTCTTATTTTTGGAATAAAACAAATGAAAACGAACTAAAGAGTGACAAGTGCTATCGATGTGATACGTGCATACGAACGAAAGAAATAAAAGTATCGCGGGGCCGTTGGGTGAGCGGTATCACGCTGGCGCCGGCTACAGCCGGCGCTCGTACACACAGGTCATCGAATGGATGCCGGCTATATCCGGCGCTCGTAACGAAAGGGTTAACCATGGCTCTAATGCACTGTTTTACCAATAATTCTTTACTACAGGAATCAAAAATGTAACAAAATTTATTGAAAATTGATAAATTGTTACGTTAGTTGATAAAAATAAGTGAGAACATCTTTCGTCTTTGTCACTCCGCTCCAAAGTCGGTAAGTATATATAGATTTGGAAACGCGCCTACGTCAGAAGCGAGGGAACGGCTACGCTGCGACGCTGCACATTCCACCCTCTAATATTATGGAAACAAAGGAGACCCATCACCGACACCATGGCGAAAAATAAAAACCATCCTTTAGTTATTGCGTCTCTAAACAATTCCATAATTAAAATATAAAAGACGGACGGCCTGTCGGCACGTCAGACGAAGTAAGAGAGCTACGAGTGAAGTGTTACTACGGTAACTTAGTCAAAGTATACGTACTAACCTCTAGCCTCGTGATTTTCGTACTCACCACGTTTACGGTTAATTTCTAATAGTGTATTCCAACGTAACTTATTTTGTTTCAAATAAATCTTATACTTGTTATCGAGAGTTAGGTTCCAACTTTTTACTCGGGCAACAAATCCCAAAGTACCTGACTCCCGAAAAACCCTTTCCGGTAGTCAAATCCGTGAATTCAGTATTTGGATTCACAACAGTACGTATGGCGCTATGGAAGGGACTGAGTCCGAGCGTTGAGCCTGTTATCGAATGTTAATTAATGTTGTTTTTATCCTTCTATTTCCCTTTAATTATTTAGTTGTACCTTTCGCTCCTTTATTTCTTTATTTAATTATTTTCTAGTTCTAGTGTCCAAGAATGACACCAGAGTCTAATCAACCATGTATTTTCTGAATTGGATACCAACATTATGTTGGTGACTATCATTGGACCAAGCATGGCATCCAGTGGTAAGGACGCGAATGAAGAAGAGCACGAACAAAGATGGGGAGAAACCATTAATGGATCAGAAATAGAAGATTATTATCGTTATAAAAGCGGCTTGCATGAGGAAGATCTTACTATACAACCCCTTTTGAAGGTATTACGTTTAATTTTTAGAAATTAAAAAATAGTTGGGCTATAAATTTCTTGCACACGTCTCTCTATTCTAATAATTCAAAAGTATTTAAATTTATAAATGACTAATGCTTGTACGTACTTTTATTGACAGACGAATTGCCGACTACAATCTATTGGAGAAAAAGTTCGAAATTAGGCCCTAAGGAATACTGTCAAATAAAACGTTATTGATGAATTGCTAGTAATCCTCATAAAAAAAGGGCATATTGATTTGCCTCATTCGTGCCGAACTGGCCTCAATCGTGCTGAATGAACAGGTTATACTGGATAGTCGGACAGTACACATGCATATATTGGGCTCGAACAACAACTACAGCGTCAAATTTTGTCAAAATATTTTGTCAACAATATTACTCCCATTTTGGTTAACATTGATGGAATGGTCTTTTTTTGATCTTCAGGATTATCATTTTGATCAATATTATGCCAAATTTCTCATGAAGCAGTACATCATTAATCATTTGCCATAGCAATATGGTGTGGGATTTCTAACCCTAATAATTTCAAGAAATTTTCGAAAGACTTTGTGGCCGAAGTAGCTAAATTAATAATCAATGGAATTAATATTGACGAAAACATGATATCCATTCGTATTAACGCTTTTGTGCGTGATTCACCAGTGAGGGCATTCATTAAATGTTGTAAAGCTTATGGTGGTTTTTATGCCTGCGAAAGATGGATTGTCAAAGGCAGAACAAAAAATAGAAAGAATATATCCAGATATACATGCTGCGTTAAGAAACGATGACTCATTTCGAAATATGGTTCAACAAGAACATCATGTATCGGAAGAAATATCAATATCATCCCAAATTCCACATTTGAACATAGCGTTTTCATTTTCATCGGATTCAATGCATCTTTTGTACATCGGTTGCATTCGAAGATTTTTAGCTAGCTGGATTGATGGCGACGGCATGGCCCGATTATCTCGTAAAAATTTTTAAATATTAAACACTGGTTTGAAATTTCTTCAATCATGCATCATAGTAGAGTTTCAGAGAAAACCACGAGGAATATTAGAATTTCCACAATGGAAAGCTACAAAGCTACTCATGTTCTTGTTATATTTTGAAACGATAGTGCTAAAACCAGTGATAACAATTTTTTATTACAGATATTTCTTTTTATTACACGTTGCTGCTCGAATTTTATGCAGTAAGAAAGGCAGAAAAAAAGGGCTACCTATGCACAACAATACCTCCGGAAAGTTAGCCGGGCAACTTCGACTTATCGAATTTCTGTACTTGCACATCGATTGTTAGTCATTTGTTATTGATTGTTAGACTAATTAAAACATTTGTTAGATAATAGTTTTTTTTGCAATAACGAAAATAAATTTTAGTGTTAAGTTAGCCGAAAAATATTGATTTTTTCACAGTTTTTGTTTCGAAATGGGTGCAATCGATGTGGAATCGTTTGTTAGTCCCGAATAAACTAATTAAAACATTTTTTAGATGACGATTTCGCTTAAAATAGCGAAAAACCATCTACCGTCTCGCTGGCCGGGAGTGGGGGTAAGGCATAGAATATGCGATGTGAAAATAGCCGGAAATATAATTTTTCTTCACAGTTTTCGTTTTGAAACGGGTGCAATCGATGTGGAATCGTTTGTTAGTCCCGAATAAACTAATACAAATATTTGTTAGGTTAGGTTAGATTAGCTAAGAATTCCAATGCTGTTACACTCCAAGGTATTAGTTTAAAAAAAAAAAAAACATTAGCTTGCAATTTTGACCCCTTAATTATATTTACGGCCATCTTTACATCGCATATTCCATGCCTTACCCCCACTCCCGGCCAGCGAGACGGTAGATGGTTTTTCGCTATTTTAAGCGAAATCGTCATCTAAAAAATGTTTTAATTAGTTTATTCGGGACTAACAAACGATTCCACATCGATTGCACCCATTTCGAAACAAAAACTGTGAAAAAATCAATATTTTTCGGCTAACTTAACACTAAAATTTATTTATGTAACTCATGCATGAAAAACACTACTTCTCGTGCCTCCGAAGTGTGGCGAAAGTGGCGCTTTATATCTATGGATACGATAGAAATGCTGCGCATGCGCAAATCGGCCCAATTTTACATTATCGCACTAGTGCTTTCTTCTCGCACTAGTGCGATAAAGTAAACTTTGTTCTCGCGCGCTGTCATGAAATGCATTCACTTTGGAAGCCTTCCTTGCTCTTCTTATGGCTGCCTCCTCCAACCAAGAGATGTTCCAGTCACTTTGGAGGCACAAAAAGTAGCGTTTTTCATGCATTCGTTACAGAAAATATTATCCGATACTGGTACAATAAAGCGAACATTATACGCAGTTCGTGAAGTTTTTCACACTCGCCGCACTCGTAAAACAAACAGCACTCGCCTTCGGCTCGTGCCGTTGTGTTACTCGTGTGCGGCTCGTGCGACCAACTTCACCGCCTGCCTATAAAGTTCGCTTTCTCGCACTTGTATCGCAAAGTACTATTTCGTTATTACAAAAAAACTATTATCTAACAAATGTTTTAATTAGTCTAACAATCAATAACAAATGACTAACAATCGATGTGCAAGTACAGAAATTCGATAAGTCGAAGTTGCCCGACTAACTTTACGGAGGTCACAACAATTGCTACATGAACTTTTTGTGAAAATACCAAAATTATACGAGCAAAGATTCCCAGATTTTACATATGCACAACTTATTGCATATCGCTAGTGATACCAGGAATTTCCATTGCACCCTTGATGAAATAAGTAGTTTTCAATTTGAAAATTACCTAGGACATTTAAGAAAGCTTATCCGTATACCATGTATACCATTGACACAAATTTGTAAATGACTACAAGAACTTTCTCATATCACTACAAAACTTGAAGAAAGAATTAAAATTAAATTATGAAAAAGTAAAAGCAATGATGTTTTTCAAAAGGACTTGTTAGATAAGGATTATTGCTATTACAATAACATTATTAGGAAAAATATGATATTAACATGTACAAAGACGAATAACGTTGCATTAGTATCCAATAAAGAAATAATCGAAATTAAAAATACCGTCGGTCCACAAGATCTTGCTTTAGTACAGCCAAAGAACATTATTTTGTTTGGTAATGATCTGCCTGTGGATGAAAACATTTATAACTACCCTTGCGAGTCTGGTAAACTGGTTATTTGGAAAACTCACCAGCGTCAAGGTACGACTAAAAAATTTCCGTTAGACAAATTTATTACTAAAACTGTCTTATTTCCTAACTATAAAAATAAGATGTGCGTTGTACCAGTCCTCCATTGATTATAATACCATATTATGTTAATCATTTTGGAATTAAATGAAATTTTAAAGATTTACAATGCACTTACATTAAACTTACATGGGATGACGTGAAGAAGTTTGCAAGTGTTATTAATTTGTCATTATAATTAGTATCGGGTAGTGTTTTCTTTTCATTTAATTTATTTAACATCGAAGTTGAGCAAAGCGGCATTGGAAAATTGAAAAAATCCTTGGTTACAGATATTTACTGAAAATAGTAGCGCTTTCTCTGCAGTTCAAATTTGAAAAAATCCAGACAGCCTTTTAGTTCACTTGTAGCGTAAGTAAATTAATTCTCTTTAAAAATTGTATATCTCATATTGTGTTGCAAATATTTTCAATGCAACTGGCAAGTACCATGTCATTCCATGTCAGATTTAAAACCAAATTTTTAATTTTCCTGAAAATTGTTTCCCTTGTTCTTGAGGGGAAAAAAATGACACGTATTTTTTTATTTCAATATGATATTGAGAAATTTCGAAATATCGATTTTTTAATTTGTCGACTCCAAAAAACCGGTTCTTCTTTAAATGTATCGTGTATCGTCCACTTTTCGACTAAAAGCAAAGCACTGCAGGGCAAAATGTCCAATAGTGTTCACTTTAAAGTCCACGTTTTAGTGGTTAAAAATTCGTTCGTTTAATAATTTGTATGCAACAATTTCTTAAACAATTTATATTATTTCAAAAGGGTCATCTTCAAATTGAATAATTTTTTCTGTAATTTGTTATTATAGTACAGAGAATATTGTCTGAAAATTTGAAAGTGGACCGTTGAATATTTTTTTAATGACCATTTCTCGATTTGACAGTGTTACTCTGGAATCTTTTAACATTTCTCTGAGTATCATTCATCTAAACTAGGTGAAAAACCCATCAAAGGATAATGGGATAACTCGAAAATGTCCAAGCACCGTCAAATCCGTGCTTCGCCCACGTCGTCCGCGCGCGAATTGTGAGCGCGGTCACATATTATGAATTTTATATAAAAAAATATTCAACGGTCCACTTTCAAATTTTCAGACAATATTCTCTGTACTATAATAACAAAATACAGAAAAAATTATTTAATTTGAAGATGCCCCTTTTGAAATAATACAAATTGTTTAAGAAATTGTTGCATAAAAATTATTAAATGACCGAATTTTCGACCATTAAAACGTGCACTTTAAAGTGAAGCCTATTGCAAATTTTGCCCTGCAGTGCTTTGCTTTTAGTCGAAAAGTGGACGATGCACGATACATTTAAAGAAGAACCGGTTTTTTGGAGTCGACAAATTAAAAAATCGATATTTCGAAATTTCTCAATATCATATTGAAATAAAAAAATACGTGTCATTTTTTTCCCCTCAAGAACAAGGGAAACAATTTTCAGGAAAATTAAAAATTTGGTTTTAAATCTGACATGGAATGACATGGTACTTGCCAGTTGCATTGAAAATATTTGCAACACAATATGAGATATACAATTTTTAAAGAGAATTAATTTACTTACGCTACAAGTGAACTAAAAGGCTGTCTGGATTTTTTCAAATTTGAACTGCAGAGAAAGCGCTACTATTTTTAAAAAAATAAGTGTCATTTTTTCCCCCTCAAGAACAAGGGAAACAATTTTCAGGAAAATTAAAAACTTGGTTTTAAATTTGACGTGGAATGACCCATATAATAAATAATAAATTATTAATCATTTTGCATCTCTAGAACACTGATTTCTTTTATGATATGGTTCAACGGCTGACTGGCTACTTCAGTTTTGTCCCTACGAGATCCTACAGATAGAACTTGAAAAATCAATACTGAATTTAACAAAAGCTCTTAATACTTAATACTTAATATAAGTTTTCTAGACCTCATATTTGCTCTCATTTGGGCAATACTTATGCATATAATATTATCGTAGTTTTATTAACGAATAAACAATTGCAGATTCATATGAATAGAGCATAGCCGATTTAGACAAATCCTGTACAAGAAGATCTCTTGATAATAATAACGAATCTGATGACAATATCGTAAAGGTTCAAAAGTGAAAAAAAACCACAAAAAATCGAAGAATAAAAAATTACCATGTTTCAACGACTTCAATTCTACCGATAATGAAATCAATCGAGATGATGATTTTCATTGTCCTTGTACCTCTAACATGGCACGGCAAAATACTATAGGCGAAAATAATAAATTAAATGAAATTTTCGCTGCCATCGAAAGAGGAAACAAAGGGATATAGTATGTGATTAACGGGGAATGGGACAAGTTATTTGTATGCAGAAATTTTTGGGTATGAAGTTTCCTCACTTCCAGCTTCCTCCGTGTAACAAATTACTCATGCAAATAAATAAATAACTAAAATATATTTTTAAGCTACTGAACTTCAACTGGAAAAAATTCGAAAATCTATGTATGATAATACGCGCAGCATAATTGCGGAATTTCGAGTACGTTTTGAGGAAACGATAAGAATTTTAAAACAATCTCAAGGAAAAATTAGTTTTAACAGTGATCTAGGAATTAACTTTCCTATTAAAACTAAAGGGGAACAGTTGTGTATTGAAGTAGGGTATTGAGAGTAAAATTTATTAAATTCACTTTTAATTATGTATTTGTCTGGATTGTTTATAAAGATTCTTAAAAATAGAAATAAAACTAAAAGGCGCCTTTTCTCTGCTAGGTTGATGTATACCATTTAATTTATGTTCAGACTTAAATTTCAACTCTTTACTGACAATGGATGATATTAGATAAAGTCAAATACGATGGATTTTCTTACTGGCTTTTCTTATCCCTTTTTCACGTAATTGCTGACTGACTGACTAACTGTTCTGCGCATGTCAGTCAGGGCCACATCCAGCTCGCACAACGGGGGGCGCATTCACATCTCGCCCTTATACATACCTAAATCTAGCTTACACGAATCGCCACTAAAGTAATTAATCTTAATAGGAACTAATTGGCTTCAACGATAAATTGCAAGATGGAGAATATTTAAATATGACAGTAAATATTATTTAATTAAATTTGACGAAATGTCAGCCGTTACAATATTTATTAAATGGAAAGAATGTCGTCAACGCACAGCCGTTGAGGACATTCTTTGCATTTAATAAGTAAATATAATTTCTCGGTAATAATATTTTGCAATATTTATTCCAACATTTATAGTTAAGGATCATGAAAAATTGGTGCTCAGACCATACGATAAAGAAAGCTGTGAATGACTTTATGCGACGATTGACAACAAAAAATGTTGAACAATTTAACTCAGGAGTAGGAAAATTTGAACATATCGGCGGAAAAGCTAGCTGCATGAAGCTTCGAGTTTACGAAATAATGGAAGGTAAAGCATTACTTGTTTATACATTAACATATGTACTGTAACGAAAATGAATTTTTGTTAGTATGGACGATTCGGGGAATGTGTGGTAAATGGCTGGCGTAGCTCAGTGGTCAGAGCAGTCGACCAGTAATCAAAAGGTCCGGGGTTCGAATCCCGGTCCAGATGCCCCGCATTTTTCCCAGATAGTCCCTTGAAAAATAACCCATCCGCCGGATTATAGTACATAGTTGGTCCACGAAAAAAATGTCAGTTCTAGAGGATTTTTTAATATAATTTTTGAATAGAAAGATATAGTCGATCCACGAGTTCATTGTGTTTTTTTTCGATAATTCGCGAAAAATGCAACCTTAATAAATCACACATGGCTTTCCATAAAGTCACAGAAATATTTGCTAAAATAGAAAAGTAATACGTATGTCCAATCATCTAATTGTTTCAATATTGTTTGAATTATATTTAAATGTAACTTTTTTATAGCGATTATACTGTCGAAAATAACAAATTCAAGCTCGAACGAAGACAAACGTTGCCTGACATCATTCACTTGAACACTTAAATCATTGATTCATATTATTAAAAAGTTCAATATTCCATAATATACTTTCGGTTTTGTTTATACAAAAATTAAAATAAAAAAAATTTACAGAATACAAACATTTGGTTTACTATATTTGGTTTACACTTGCTTTACTATAGTGTGACAGGAAAATAATTTTATCCTTCCCCTCGACGTCACCGCTCGCCTGAAACTCGTTGAGCGCTCGTAGGGACGAATTTACGGGTAAGGTATAATTGTCAAAATAGGATTTATGTCATTTGTCTTATTTATGGTAGTGTAAGTTATTTATATTACCTGCAATATAATTTATTGTATGTCAATAATAATCGTTGAACTAGCGGGTCTATTGCCTCTACTCATATAAAGTACCGCGTGAGAGCGACAAAGAGACAACGTATGGTTGGCCCGGTAGTTTGACAAAGACACTGGAAGGCTAAACGCGCATGATTTGCCAGTCCGAGCGCCGGCAACGGACCACGTGATCAAGCAACAAGTAAGCCGGTAAAATAGGCACTATGCTAACTTACATCTATTTCGTCACTTGAATAGCGAGGAAGTCAGCCTTCAAGGAGTCTCGCCTTCGTAATTTATGTCTCTCTTATACATACATATATTGAAAATTGTATGAACTTGGAACCATTGACACTGAAATATTGTGAACCCGGAATAATTGGATTATTGAATTGAATAATTGGAAATGTTGGATATATTGAATTACTGAAATACCGAATTGACTGGAACTAATATTGAAGGATTCAATATTATAATCAACGATTGTCGACGTTTTGCAAGTAAGTCCAATTAATAAATCTATATTCTCTTTTCTAATACTGTGTCTCTGGCTTTGCAATTTCTTTTCCTTGGGTCGTCCAATCACCCACCTTGCGATCGTCTCATGGCTTAGTTAGCCGATAATTATTTTGAAGAAAGTTTGTTAGTTCTTAAAACTAACTGGCGCTCAACATCTTAAAATTTATTACTCTAGAGCCTTGGCAGCCAATGACCCAGGTCGCGCCAGGTAGATATCTTTTCAGATTGTCTAGTGTGACAAGAAAATTTATCGATCTCAATAGCAACCGACTGAATAGAACGACAATATTAACTTAATATGTTGCCAATCTGTTGTAAGCGCCAACAGTATTGTGTCGTTGCTTGCGATACCCTCCAATTATAAACAGCGACATAGAAATCTGCGGAGGAAGTATTATGAGTGTTTTTCGTCGCGAAGCAATGGATAACGGGATATACATGTCTAAGGTCAGGGAAGAGCAACTGATGTGAGGAGAACGACGGGTGGACGAGAGTTAGTTGTAAGATAGAGCGTCTAGAAGTAAGTCCTCGCATCGTCTAGGGGTAAGTCCAATCACCATATCATAGATATAATGAAGCCGTGTTCGATTAATAAGAATTAACAGTATGGAACCCAACGGGTTCCTGAAGTGGTGTCAAATGACTTCAGGAATCGGCGGACAATCCTTGACGTCCGTCGAGTATCATTGTCAAATATTTCGAGCTCAGGGGGCCGTGAGTCTAAATATCCCATTAAAGGGGTGGGCTGGTCGGTCATGGGCCTTCGGAGGGATCCTCCAAGGGTAGCGGCGTGATCTATAATGAGCCGCGCACCGGCTCATAATCATGTGTCCGCGTCCTTGATACGACTGCAAGCATGGAACACGGTTTCGAGAGTAGCGGCGTGATTCAGATAAGTCGCGCACTGACTGAAATCATGTAACCGCGTTTGGAAGATAGTATCACAGAGGTAGGAGAATCGAGTGTTGGAATAGAGCACTTCGTCGTGAATCTAACGTTGCAAGTAAAATCTATCATAATACGATTGTTAACAAGAGATCTGTTTAGTTTAAATAAATTGGTTCCAAAGTATTAAGTGTAAACACGGTTTCTTGTACTTTCCCATAATGTTGTTGTGGACCGGTGCTGAATCACCTGAGAGGGGTGACGTGGTGCAACCTGTGATGGTATGGTCAAGCACAATATAGGATGAAACAGTTTTTTAACTTGGAAAGTAACATTGTTTCAAAGTATTATATAATAGCAATACCGCTTCAATTTAAGAGTATGCATCTACTGACCCAATATTGAATGTCGATGTATATTGACCATGATGATTTAATGAGGTACCAATGGAACATTTTAACGTGGGATACAGGACCGTAATTGAAAAGCAGTAGACGAAGCATCAAAAGACGGGCTGCCAGTATCGGGCCAATGTATTATTTTATTCGTAATTTTGAAGATGGACCATACCAATTGATCCAACACATTTTGCCAATATAGGGCCACTAGAGAATAGTGTTATGCTCCATTTATTTGCCCAGTATTGGTTGCCAATATTGGTAGATTGGCTGTCACCATTGGCCCAAGGTTTCACCAATTTACGGATTGTTGCAAAGTGCTGTAGGCCATCGAAAACTGTTTGAAGCCAAGGTCACATATATCACAGGTACGGTAGTATTACGGAAGCTCGGTAGTGACATTTGATGGTTTCCTTCTTAGTATTATTTTAATAATTTAAGATAAATATAAACCATATGGTATTGTAGGTTAAATGCGAGTAGTATATAATCACCATGTACTTAGCGATATATCTTACAATTAGTTTAAGGCCTATTTTATTAGTAGTTTTTAATTAGTAGTTCTATTTGCGTCCGTTTACATAGCTTATTGTAATCTTTTAAACAAATCAAAAGTTGAAAAAAAAGGTTCGATACCCCATTAATGCAAATTTTTATGTATTTACGTTATTTAAGAAGAAATTTAAATAGTCATGTTTTTTAACAAATAAAAGCTGCAAGTTGAAACTTGCAATTTGCTTCCTCCGAATCGTCAGTAGTGTACGAAGTCCTTATATGAGGAAGCATTTTCATTTTTTTTAATCTTTGGCTTCCTCATTGATGAATTTTCATCTACTACCCACGATTCAGAGGAAGCAAATTGCAAAATTAAAATTCTTGGCATCCTCATATAGGGACTTCGTACACTACTTACGATTCGGAGGAAGCAAATTGCAAGTTTCAACTTGCAGCTTTTATTTGTTAAAAAACATGACTATTTAAATTTCTTCTTAAATAACGTAAATACATAAAAATTTGCATTAATGGGGTATCGAACCTTTTTTTTCAACTTTTGATTTGTTTAAAAGATTACAATAAGCTATGTAAACGGACGCAAATAGAACTACTAATTAAAAACTACTAATAAAATAGGCCTTAAACTAATTGTAAGATATATCGCTAAGTACATGGTGATTATATACTACTCGCATTTAACCTACAATACCATATGGTTTATATTGTCATAAAATTTGCGATCGCTAGAGTGCGAACGTCCTTCTTTTGGAAATTTGAAAATGACATCAATTTTGAGCCACAGCTTGAATCATGACGAAAATTATAGTCATTGAAGGAATTATACAGCTGCATATGCCTGCAAAATTGGGAGGCTGTACCTAAAACCGTTCTCGAGTTATACACGTTTGAATTTTGGGAGGCCATTCCACACATACACACACACACATACATCCGGACATTTTCTCCAAACGTGTTTTCTCGACGTTTTGGCACATTCTGGACATGGTGACATGAAAATCTCGACAGGAACATTTTTCACCGTTACATAGCTTCCTCTATGAGGAAGCAATAACAGACGTATAAGTATAGTGAGAAGAAAAACTTGGACTTTTGCACACTTCATAATAAAATTCGCATTGCATTTAAATAAATACGGTATGGCAGAGTTTTAGGAAAAATATTTAGTATGAACGTGTAAAGAAGAGATATCTTTTATTGAACAATATAAACAAGCAGGCTTGTTACAAGAAGTCTAACCGTCATAGTTCTTAGCAACGATAATCTAAGAACAATCAAGAATCGGGTACAATACATGGCACTACAGTTTAACTAATACCGTGTTTTGTACGCAGAATATTATTCTTACAATGCAGAGAAAGTCTTGGAGTAATACAGAGAATTGTTTAAAGATTTTCGAATAAAACTATTCAGCACTATAGAAATTCGTAAAATTTTGCCCTAAAACTCAGAGTTTTGAAGAGAATGATTTTGATTAAATATTTATTAAAATGAGAAATGTTTCATAGTTTTGCAAAGAAATATTTTATACTCGGGGGATCTCAATTATTCCTAAATACATTATTTAGTTGACATAAAAATACTTTATTCTCAGTGCAGTTATTTAGCGTGTATCATACTAACTAAAGTTACTGTGTCCATTTCATTCCTGGGATAGAATCACGATAAGATTGTGCAATTCTCTGTATGTAAGATTCAATTAAAATATCTATTCAAATAGAAATTATCTTTTTTATTAAATTCTATCATTTGTCTATGAATAAGTTAATTACACAACGCTATCATTAAAAAATAAATAATCTCTTGAATGAATTATCGCTGAAAATATTGTCGAATACCTGAGTAAATAAAATAATTCTTTATCTTGGATCATTTCATTTTTACTGTGATTTAGTGGCGTGAGAGCCTCAAGATAAGGTAGTTAAAAAAACAGATTGTGAACTAGGAAAGTGGTGTATGTACAAAGACACTACCGACTTAAAAGAAGTCTTACATCATTTATAAATGAAAGTAAAGCATATATACCTTTGCAGTGCATCACCCAATTCTTTTGATTTATTGCTCGTTACGGGGGCGTACAAATCTGTCACTAGTAGATCCTTTTTGGCTCCTTTCCAAAACAATGGCATCGTCCACCTACACATATAAATGTAGCCGTTCGATAGTTTTTCTTTTAAATATACTTTTTTAATTTTCAACTATACATATGTATATAAGATTGTTTCAGCCGAACTGCGACATTAGTATTACATTCTTACATATTTCTTTCGCATACTAATCCATAAGAAGATGACCTCTAAAAATACACTGATCTGATCACATAGACCAATTATACATTGTTTACAGTATATGGAAAAAGACATTAAAAAAAAAATAGTATTATAACACATGATTGAGGTTCATGAAGAATATTTATGGAAACGACATGGACTGTTGCAGATCTTGCATCGAAGAAAGAAGAACCATGAAATAGATTAGACTCTCGTTAAGTGAACTTTTTTAGGAGTGTAGGGATAGAGGATTTAAAGAAAATGGTCACTTAACGGCAACCTTCCAGTCTTCAATAGTTCTTTATCAGAATTCACTATCCTTACTTATTTCCGAAATTGCAATTTTTCCGCACTTGTATAACGATACGCTCGGTGACATTTTATTTGATATAATCAGCATGCCCTGAGGCATAAGAGATTCGAGTGATCGGGACGAATCATTCACTTGATGAGCATTTACTTAACTGGACTCTACTGTAATCGATATAGATGCACGTATCTTTTTATTCGATAAATCCTTATAACACAATTTCCAATGTAATTATGCAATCATATTGATTTATATTAAGACTAATGTAGAATGATCTTTCGATAAATTTATTACTGTAAAACTATTAAGAAGGCACATATATCTAAAGTACCCGAGAATAGAATGCTTTTTGAGCTTGTATTGCGGAAAATTGAGAAATGATTTTAAACTTTTTTTTTTAATTATCATTCAAAGTACATATAATCAAATGCAAATTATGACGTATGCGTTACAAATGGCAACGATTCTTTCGAGACCTGTTTTCTCATGAAGACCTTCATGGTTGACAAGACTATACACAATTGGCTATACGTGCCCAATTTTTGATTAAGAATTTCCTTGCAATTGTATTACAACAATTTATTACAAAAATTTGTTATGTCTTCTTACATTGAATATAAATAAATTTTACTATGCTAACTGTGTTTAATCGTAAACTTTAAGATTTACTTTGAATTTTTTTATTTCAGTTGAAATCGATTTCTTCGAAACTTAAAAAAGCTTCCATTTTTGGGCGTCCAGACATATGTGCCCCCTTAAGGTAGCTATACCGCTTCACACTAGTCAAATCAGTGCTAAATTTTTAATAACGTTTTTACAATTTCTGGTGGTTTATTTAATAGTTCCGAGAAGATATTCACGTATCAGAATTAGTTCTTAATATATACATACATTCACAGCCATGATTAAAACAGAAAGCCGAATGATATATATGAATGTCCGATGGCCGAGCAATATCTCATTTTGATAATTGGAAGATTCTTAATCGATTGGCGATCTAGACTTTAGATAATATTAGTAGCTCAAAAGATACAACCGTTTGATTACCTATCCTAACATAATATCAGGCATACAAGTAACACTTGAAAAACTAATATTATACAAAATCTCGATGGTCAATCGATTAAAGATTTCCAAATAATCCAAATGAGATATTGCTCGTCATAATTGGACTATTATTATGGTTCATTCTTTTAAAAAACTGCACGACAAAATATGACATCGAACATTTGGATATAATATTTGATTTTCTATTCGAATCGAATTACAATATTAATTAATTATTTCAGTAACCTAACTATTGAAATATTTCAAAAATCTTATTGCTATGCGAACTGTCAGTTTGCGCTTATGGGAATCGATAACAGTCACATGTCATTTTTTGAAGAGGCCACACTGCCGTGTCGGCCACTTAAGCCAACTTCTGCTGGTGCGTTTCTACTGACTAACCCTGTATATTAAGAACTAATGCTGATACGTGAGTAACTCCTCGGAACTGTTAATTACACCACTAGAAATTGTAAAAACGTTATTAAAAATCTAGCACTGATTTGACTAGTGTGAAGCGGTATAGCTACCTTAATATCCTCATTTCTTTACTTACAAACATTAACTAATATGTGATTCTTTTAAAGGGTTACCTTTACCGTGAATGCACAAAAAATAAGGTCAATCTTAAAAATTAACTACTCAAAAACTATAAATGGAAATTAATTTATATTTAGCTACGTATTAATATGCATATTAATGAATAAATTTTGAAAATTTGTAAAAAAATATTTAACACTAGAAAGACCGAATCTTAGTATATACCTATATTGCCCAAAGCAGTCAAAATGACTGCATTGTGAAAGAATAACTAATGTGTAAAGAAATTTGTTTAAAATTAATTTTTAATATTTTTTTTATTATTTACAGTTATGTACTTCTATTCGACATTTCTTGCATGAATTTAGGGCGCAAAAGAAATAAAATAAACAACTTGTTAGAACAAGTATCACTGCATAAAGATTCGAATAACAAGTACTACTTTAGCTTATTGAGCAATTGCGGCTTATCAAGTATACGCCCAAATCGACAATTTATCATGTACTTGTATGTGATCATGTACTTGTATTTATCATGTACTTTATCATGTGACGATAATCGAAAAAAAATGAAAACTGTTATTTCAATACAGAGCCGAACTGGTCATATAAGAAATTTACTCAATTCAATAATAAGAGTCCTTTCCCACACAGCACAGAAATATTTTGTCAACATTGCCAAAAGTTTCCCTTGAAATAATGCAATATTACCGGAAATATATTGAAAATTGTTTAAATATTTCTGGAATGTTGCAGGAACCTTGCAATGTCCGCTCAGCACGTTGCAATCATAATATCTTTTGTAAAAAATGTTTTGTAATGTCGCATGGACGCATGGAAGGCTACTCGGATTGAACAACAAAACGGTGTACATTATTTTGCCCATGTGTTTTGTCTGAACAAAACAAAACAAAATATATTTATAATTTATATATTATTGTCTACAATGTGACGAGCCATTTTTTCGATAATATGTTTTGTTTGTAATCTATTAACTTTCTTAATGCAAATTTTGAGGTCAAAAATTGAAAAAAAGAATTGAAGAATTTTTTCTCATCAATGAAACCAAATTTTTTAAATGGCTGCGTCACATTATAAACAATACAATATCAATTACAAATATATATTTTATCTTTTAGTTGCAGACAAACCACATAGACGAAATAATGTACACCGTTTTGTTCAATCGCAGCAGCCTTCAACGTGACACTACATAACTTTTTTTTGAATACATATTTTTTTTTAAATTTTGAAAATTTATTTATTAGTAATATGTATATTAACATATAGCCAAATATAAATTGATTTCCATTTATAAGTTTCGAGTAATTAATAGCAGCACAGTAGGATAACCCCTTTTTATTGTTATATCAATTTTCCGTAAGATTAGATCTTTTCATGAAAGTCAGAAACAAATATCAGACTACCAGTATACTAGAAATTACATATATTTTTACAAAATACTATGAAAAATGTCTGTATTCTACAATCGAAATGTTTCCTTTTATTCCACAAACAAGTCTGCGGGTTTTGCGACATTTTACCATATACATATTTTGTACATCGAGGACGCACATTCACGTGTAAGTACTAATACAAACACTCAGAAAGTCGACGATTCTCAACTTACGATATAAATATACAAATCGACGAATATAACAAATGTTCAGAAGTTACATTTCGAGAACCAAATGCCTAATCAACTTACGAATAACATATATATGATTTAGAAAACTCTTCTGTACTGTAATTCACATATAAATGACCCATGAAAAACGCATTTCCCGCATCAATGAACTGTAGTCATATGATATGTCGAAAGTCACTCTTCTTGGAATTCCTAGTGTGACGTCAGTTAAGTAGTGGGAGAAAAGCATTTTATCGCACTATACTGTAGACCTCAGTCGTATACACTCAATCACTGACGTCATACGGAACCTTAATAATTAAATAGAATGCATCTTTAAGATATATATATCCATAACTATATTAAGCAGAAAAGCAACAGAATGAGGAAATTTGTTCTGTATATAAATTAATTGTCAAAAAAAATAAAATAGATATCAAGGGTAATGAATGACCACAAAAATAGATATTTAGAGTAATTCTGGCGATACCACTTTAACAAACGAATATTACAGTAAATAAATTGCATCATCACCTCTGTATTTTTTAAACATAAAATACATGGCTGCATAACTCTCTAATTTGTCACTTGACTAACATTGAAAGTATTGTAATTGTATGATAAAAATGTAAATGCAAATAACGATATTGCTTACCAGAAAAACAATCGGTTAATAATATTTGCCTGTTTCACAGGGTTTGTCTTAGTTACTCTTGTGCCGATGTCCATTTTTCCTGTTCGCACTCCGAACGTAAGGAGATCCGTTTGTTCAATGAGGCCACCGATTGTCAGCGACTCTTATTCTCCGCGAAACCAATCGTTCGTAATTCTAAGCACTCCGTGACTTTCCGCGTGTACTCCTTTCGAAGCAAACTTGGAAATGACACTGAATCTTTAACTAGACTTTTGCCTGTCTTATGTAGTAGTACGGCCTCGCGATAAAAGTCTTTACGATAAAATATAGGTTCCCACCCACAAAATACAGGTAATAGCGTGGGGGATATACTTGTAACGTCCGTACGTTTTATGATTGATAAAAGAGAGTGGGAAGAACAAGAAATAAGAAAAGAGACACAGCAAGCAATGGAAAAGAATAGAAGTATTTTCGATGTAAACTATTTTAAGAGGGGCGTTTCATTTGCTATACTAAAATAAGTTAAGTTTACATAAAAGTTTAATGCCAGACCCTAATTGTATAATTGCGCTTCAAAGACATTAGAATTACATATATAAATTACTGACGAATACTGTATAATAACAGTTCCTCGCTTTCTCTAGATTTTACGTGTTTCAACGTCACTTTGAGGTTTAACGTGAGAATCATATATTTTGGGATTAAGGTTGTATAAACATTAATGTATGTAAGGAAAAGTCGTGCTCCAAAGCCATTTCAATTGATTTAAACACTATATTGCTAGAAAAAAAAAACTAAAAATAATAATAGTTAAATGGCTATAATATAAAAAAAATCATTTAGGTTTTCATGCGCGACTACGTGGAACATGTAGAAGTGTCTTATGCATTCGCCATAAAAAAAAGAGAATGTACATGCATAAATTCGGTGGACAAAATTTCAACCGAACGACTCAATAAATCGGACTAAAATTTTTAGAGGAATCAAGTCCCGAATTTAGATAGAACAGCAATATTTGCAGATGGCTGGCAACATTTATTTTCAATAAAGTCCATACCCAAATCCCAGATACTTCGTTATTTTCGAATTATATACGCGAAAGTTTGTAGGTAGAATTGCGGACGAGCAATTTAACCAGTTGAATTGAAATTCAGCCGTAATAACAAGTTACAAATGTACACAGAACAGTAACATTTGCAGTTGTCCGTATTTATGATTTTGATGGAGCACATGCGAAAAATTTAGATGTATTCTATTTGTACGTGTGTATTCATGTCGGTTATTTTTCAGACGAATCATTGAATTAATCAATTTAAAATTCAAAAGAAATTGAATTTTCATTATAGATTGTATATTAATATTTGAAAACATCTAACACATCCGGTTTCTATTTCTAAGACACATGGAAGAAATACAGAAAAATTGAATGGAACGCCTTTCGTTTTCATAACTAATTCCAACAATTTCTTAAGTACTGCATCGTGTGCACATATTTCATTTTGCAAAGTGAATGCATTAAACACAACCACATCGTAACATCCGGTGATGCCTCAAGGTAAACCTCTTTGTTCCCATATTTATACGTATATTAATAGTAAACGAAGTTTGTGAAGACGTTGCAACATTTTGCAAATAGTCTGGAATGTCGTTTAATGAATAACGCCATGATAACGAAAAAGGCTTCGACGAATACGATATAATTATTAGACTTCAATGTTCCATCGCTATCGTTGTATATCATCACGAAAAGATATCCATATTTGATCGACTTTTACCAAAAAAGATTCTTCTAAAATCTTAGCATCGTTTGCGAAGACATAATGTGCAGTAATAAATTTTATATGCCATTCGGCCGAATTCCGTTATACGGCTGCTAGGACTTGCCTTTAAAGGGGTTTTCTTATCAATAGGTAGTATCAATATTCAATAAAGCATACTAATCTATTTTAAAAATATTGAATGCAATGGGGATTACTATAGGAAGAAATACAGAAGTGTTTGTCGATCAGAGAGAAAGCATGAACCGTTCCGAGTGCCGATTGTTTGATGAAGTCAAAAAGGACAAAATTACAGAGCGGGAAGAAACGAAAGCCCTTTATTATCTATTTAAGTCTTTGTCATGTATAAGAATGTCCTTACTTCAAGAGTAAATGTAGTAAGCGTGTGGAAATTGGTGAGCAAAGAAGAAAGAGGACAGTCGCAACAGGCCCGTATCGATCAAGGGCCCTTCGTAGTTACTAAAAGTAGACTGCAAAAGGGTCTGTGCGATTAGACATCAAGATAAAGCGATGAACTAAAGTTAATATACTGTTAATAGTTCTAACATAAAAATATACAGGGTGGGACAGTAACTATTAACACCTTAGATATCTTTGAAACTATAAGGTTCACAGAAATATTTGCTGAAATAATTTGCTGATAGCGATAATACTTTTTTTACAGGTGGAGGTCCTTTGGACATGCGAAGGTCACCTCTATTTTTTTAAATGCATTGGTATGTTTTTGTTTCTGTATCATGATAGAGGAGCTTGAAACGAGTTCAACGACCTATCACATAAGGTCATTGAAGGTCATAGAAAGTACAGAAAGTGTTACGAACAACGAATTTATTTTTTTTGTAGGTGTCAGGAAAATGTTGGTGGGCTTCTTTTAATAAAGAAGCTGTCGTCTAGGTTGAGCAGTTCGTATGTATTTCACGAGAGAGGATTGTCGTGTACAAATTCCAGACTGTTACTAAATTAACCTAGAGAAGGCCCGTCTTTTTATACTAGTGGTTAAGGGTAGTGTGTAAGGTAGGGGTTGCGAAACGGGAAAACGCAGTTCGGGTGTAACGGGACTCTAAAATGGAATTTTGGATTAGGAAGGTTTTAGAAAAATATAAACGGAGTGTTTTATTAGGGTTGGGATTAACGGTAAGGAAACGGTATTTTGGGGATAACAGGGTGCGGAATTTTATGAAGGATGAGGGTAATTAGGAAAAATGCAAAAAACTATGAAAACGGTACACGGAACGTGACAAAAGGCGATAATACTTACAGTTTCGATAGTAAATAAAATTAGTACGTTAGTAGGTGTTCGAAATGATGACCATCAGTATCAATGCAACATTGGATTCTTTTTACGATTGATTGACTTGCAAGTCTTACAGCGTCAGAACTTATTGATGCACAGACTGCAATATCAAATGTCTTTATGTCAAATATTGCACAATATTTCAGGACAATATAATAAATAAAACTTTCTGATATATTGCTGAAATCATAGACAGTTTTTATAGGTGCCAGAAATATTTTAGAATAATACCTGCAAAATGATTATTTTTATTATTTAAAAAATATTTAGCAAAAGTTCATTCGAACATTTTTTTCAAATATTTTAAAAGGTTATGGTAACATTTTTTAAATAAAATGCTGCTAATAAAAAAAAATGATTTCTGAAACGTATTAAAATATTCGGACAAAACTTTGCAATATACAGGATACATATGTTATAAATAATTAATATTGCGAACTGTTATTTTACAAATATTGACCAGCAATATTATATTATGTTTGCAACGTCCTTTGCGTGTTTGCGAGCGCATTGCAAGTATTCGGGAATATTCAAGAAATATTACAGTAATATTGCAATACATTTCAACAATATGCAAGTTCTGTCTGAATTATACACTGTTAAAAAAGTTAAGAAATTTACAACACAAAAGATGAAACTTACTACATAGGTGCATATAATATTTAGAATATAGGTAACGCAAATGAGTATT